GCAAGATTTGGGCAAATATTTACGCCGGTTTGGAAAAACGCAATGACGCAAAAAAATTGTTCTGGATTTTAAGCAACTGGAATATGGCCATTCAATAGAAATGCTCGGTTGAAACAACTGGCAAAAATAATACAAATTTCAAAGAATAGCTATCCTGCAGTGATGTAAACAAAAATATTAAAAGCAAAGCATTCTAGAGTAGTGAGAAAAGGAAGATTACCAAAAAAAAGGACTGACCAAAGCTTTTTCACATCTCAGATGAAGACATTGGGTGGAATGCATAAAACGTAGTATCTGCTAATGCTTCAAGTAATTCTACATTTTTGTAGTAGTTGCTACACTTACAAAGCATTTTACTTTCCTCCGTAGTATTTACTACTATTTACCAGATACATAGAAGGATGTACTACGCTTTTGAAGTATTTGCTAGTTTAGTAGAATTTGCTTCAGTTTAGGTGAAGTTGGTAGATAAACAACTTCGGCTTAGGTATTTTTTGTTATGTTTGTTAAATGGCAGCATTTATGAATGTTCGTCGTAGAAAAATCTACAAACCAGGATGAATATACAATGACGATATTTATCGTAAAATATTCAGGTAATTATCATGAATCGTGTAGTTTTATTCATACAGTGCGCTGAAATAAGTGTAACCCCCCATATTAACTCATTTATTTTTAGTATATAAGCAAAACACTCGAAGAGGTCGATTTTTAAAATAATCATAGTATATTATAGCATCAATGTTTCGAACTTTAAGCAATCTTTCTTCAGGTGACAGTCATAACTTTGATTTTTTAAATGGGAAAGTAGGAGAGTAGGGGGCGGGTAAGACTTATTTTAGCTTACTGCGTATGTATATATATTTAGGTATTAATGTAAAATCTTTATAAAAAGTTGAAAAATCACATGAAAAACTAGTTCTAATACGATTGGTGTGATGCGCATAAGGGCCCTACGGCTGGCGTTACGTTTAGTAGTAGAACCTTCAGGTCAGTAGCAAATACTTCGTTTGTGTAGTACGGTCTTTTCAATAAAGCACCTCCTTTTATGTAAAAGTAAATGCTACAAACCAGATACTATTTGCTGAAGCAATAGCATCTACTACTTTTTATGCATTCCACCCATTGACTCATTTGGGTTTTACACAAGTGGTACAGCTTCCAGCGAGGATTATAGTGAATCAGTTTACACGTCAAATAAATAAGGTTGCAAAAATAAATGAGACAGAGCCATGTGAAGAACTAAATGCAAGCTTTAGTTCCAGTGGTTTGCTGGTTACACCCGAGTTAAAAGTATCAACAAAAAAAAAACGTCGACAGACCATTAATGCGAAAGCACAAGAAGTTACCAGAGATTTATTTAGTCATTTAGTTAATCTCATAGCTTAGCAATACCAAATTTAAAAAAAGATTCATGGTACTCAAATGTGTTTATTGTAATAAGTATATCCACGAGGAATGTATAGGATTAACAAAAGACGACAAGGATATATTGGCCTTATTAAGAGTTCCAAATAAGGCTAAATATTCCAGTTTTATTTAGTGTTAAAATTTTATATTTCTTTATTTATTTATTAAGTATTTTATCGTGAAATTCGATAGCTAAAATGTTAGGCAATACATATACAAGACTTTTCCCCACATATTTTTGCTCGTGGCCCTAATTGGCGTCCTTGACTAAGTGTATAATCAATAAAATAGATCATTTAATATTTTAAGGCTAAAAATGGCAAATTTATGTACTGAATAGTATTTAATACAGATAAAATATTGTAGGCATAGCACGAGATTGTTTATAATAAATAAAGGCTTTGGAAAACTTACAAAATAATATTAGCTGTATGTATCACTCTTACATATTCTATAATGACACCGATTAGTTGTTTCTTTTTGTACAGATATCGTATAATAATTAATTAAAAAAAAATCATTTGCTAATTTACGCACTTTTGTCTTTATTTTCGTATTTCTTTTTTCAATAACTATCCTTTCTTTAGTATTTTTTTATCTTAATTATGTCTTCACAGGTACTTTAACACATGAGTTTACAAAAAACAGTACGAAAAAAATGGCTGATACTGACGCGTGCGCACAAAAAATTGTGATGAAAAACGCCTATGTCTACAGACACTATAATATGTAGACACCACAATGTTTATCATGAAAAATATAAAAATAATGGCTATAAAATTCTTACTAACGTAGAGAGTCATGACCTATGTCGCTTTTTGGAATACTATTAGTGGTATTGAAAAACAAAAATTAGGCAATAAATCATTTTCGATAATAATATCAAATGGCAAGTATTTTTAAAAACTTTATAATTTTGAAATCGAAAATATTTTATTCCCATGACTACGAGGCTTTTGTTAACTAATCTAAAAAATGTTTTAAATATAAATAAGCACTTATAGACATATAATATGAATCCTTGAAATGTACAGATTGTTGTTGCGTGCTAATGCAGTAAATTCGTCAGTCGTGATGCCTTATTTTTGAGGTAGTGTCCCTAAGCAAAACACTATCGCCGCATGTTTTCTTCCTTCCAGACACCCGCCGCTTGTGTCATTCGCACTTAATTAAGCTCTGTGTAAAACATTTCACATGATCACATCAATAAGAAAACAAGGTTTTACATCAACAATAATCTGCGAAGTGAAACTTGTTTAAAGTATAGCAGAAGTATAAAATAATAAATATATAAAATATAAGCCAGGAATGTATCTTTTTTATTTTGTTACCTTCTTAATAGAAAATTAAAATATAGCATGAAACTAAAGTATAGTTTGGTTCAAGATATAAGAAATTTAGCCCAAGGCTGGTGGGATGACCCAGTCAACCGTAGAATTATAATAATGAACACCTATTGATGTTACTAATCCCTCAATTGTCTGCGACGCGACGGGTAGCAATAGTTTTGGAACAGCTTACTAGGACCGGACTTTATATTATTTCTATATATCTCATGTTCAATGGGCTCATTACTTGAATTTTATGGAGCTAAACTTTAAATAAAATAAAGTTAAAAAATCATTTACAAGTATATGTTAAAGATAAAGTATACCTCTTATTATTATTCTATGGCTTTACACATTATAATTCTCGTGCTAATAGGTATTTAGGTATAATTTATTTATCTAGAAAACATTATTTATGAAACATTATGAATGGGGCAAACATATTTAAGTTTGACATTTGCACATTCAGGAAGATATTTTCTTGCATTTAGATCTGTGGTTAGGTCACGACTATTCAAGTAAACTGTCAGGAATCAGTAAAGCCAGTGCTAAGTGTAGAACATGTTTGTATTTATCTGATGATGCCAAAGAAATTATTAGGAATGTTTATCAAACAATACAAGAAGATAATCCAAATCCAAAAGACGGTAAATTTTCATCAAGGCAACATCTCGATTGACAAAGATGCCATATACAACAGTGTGGAAGATGTTTTGTATGAAAATTATTTGTACTTTGAAGAGATATATACAAAAAAAGAAATGTTGGAAGTTCTTCACACAAAAGTATTTAAAAAATAGTTTATTATAGAGGAATTAGCCAAACGTGATGGTCATATTATATTACGGTTACCTCCTTATTACTGTGTTTTCAACCCGATTGAATTAATATGGAGCCAACTTAAGGGAAGTTTACGGCGAAACAACTGCTGTCCCAAATTTAATAGTCAATCGGTATCACATGTTGTAGAAGAAATAAAAAAAAATTCCCAACACTGTGGCAAAATTGTGTTTCACATGTTATAAAAACGGAATATCATTACAGAACATTAATCTCCCATATTAAACCAATAATTATAGCATTAGATGATGACGATTCTACTGAAAATGACAGCGACAATGACAGAGTTGTAATTTGTAATTATTTTTTTCCTTCTAAACTTCAAATTTTATTTTTTTTATGTTATTGTTTCTAATTTGATTATGTTATCTTTTTTAATTCTGATTTTTGCTACCACTCTTTAAATCTTTTACTGTTTTTAACATTATTTTACTTAATTTCTTTAATTTGTCCATTTCTCTTATTTCATTGTACATAATACCTATAGTACATATCTAGAACTACATAGACATAAATAAGCATTAAATACTTATATTTAATTTTATATTTATTATTCCAATCCTATTAAAATATTATATGTACTTGAACTTTTTCGTTAATTTTAGCGAATACGCTCCTGGTGGGTTTGTTATTATAATACTAAATCGGTAGGGTGATCCCACCAGCACAGCGTCAGGCAAAATTTCTTATATCTTGACAGAAACTATATAAGAAATTAATTCAAGTAGTAACCTAACCTGATATTATTTATGTTCTTGATGTAGGTGCATATTTCTGAAATACTTTGTTAATATGTGGCAAAAATTGATTATTATATATTATACGATATTATTATGCGATATTTATAAATGTTGATCCTTCAACTTCCTGGATAATTTAAATAAAACAAATTTCACTTAGCTTAATTTATTTATACAATGTTGGAATGCAAAGAACTGAACATATAAAATATTTAATATCGAATGTTTGCTATTCTTTCAGATAGGCCAGAAAGTTTTTTATATCGGCAATACCGCTGCATTACCTTCTTGCTACGTCCTTGAACACGCAAAGACAATATTCCACCGAATTCACTGGTTGAGCCGGGTTATTTTTTATGAAACTGAATTTTTTGTGCAGTTCAGAACGAAAAAAATACTAATTTGATTAAAAATTATTTTTATTTGCCGAGGAAATAGTATTCACCCGAAATTATTACATATTTTAGTTTGTCAATCGATGAAATAATTGGCCGTTTTCGCTTAAAAAATGTATGATCAAAAGGAGTCTTATAAAAGTTGGTTCGATAACACAATTAAACAAATTCTGTTATGTTAATGCTTACAAAAAGGTGTTCGACAATTGTATCATGTCTCCATTACTCCTATACAGAGTTAATAATGCAAGTGAAATAATGGGACTGAAAATGAATATTAAAAAAAATTAAATGGTAATTATGAAAACGGATAAAACTTTCACATTGACCTAAATAACACACAGTTATAACATGTTCACAAATTTAAATACTTAGGAGTACATCTCACAGAAATAAAAATACTAATAGAATGTTCTGGGAACATGAACAATAAATGGAAGCAAACTGTCTATAACTGACAACAAAGCTTAGACATCCGAATTAAAGTTATTAAATGCTACGGTTAGTCAGTCCTTCTGTATTGAGTTAAAGTCTGGGCAATAAAATTAAATACTAAGACAGCTAGAAAAAGACGGCTTTGAAATGTGGCTTCATCGCAAAATAATTAAAATATCATGGATACACAACAACGAAACAAACAGTATTAAACAGGATACACAGATAATTAGAACTTATAACAACGATTAAGAAAAGACAGACCTCTTATCTAATAATGGAGTGCACCAAAAGAAGAATCTTTACTTTAAATATTGCTTAGACGATAGGAGCACCAGGATGTATTTGAGAAATGTTTAGTATATGCCACTGTTGGACACAGATGAACCATGATAGTTGTCATGCGCACAATTTTGATAATATCTATTAAGGGATCACCTTGTTCTGTGGACTTACGTCCAAATTTTTTTTCTGTTGCGAAAATTCATGAAAGGGTCCAAAATTTAGAAGAACTCAAACTGAAGACTATCGAAGGTTTTTGATATAGATAACACCAGTTATGCAAGATCATTTTATGATAGTTCAAGCATCTAAGATACTGAAATGGATGTTGTTTTTAAGCCATTAGTAAGTGATGTAGTTGAAGGAACCATCCATTTTTTGAATAGATTACAATCTTCATTTTAATGTCAGAAAATGTCTTTATTTCTCATTAGAATTATTGTTTTATTTCCTTTGGAATATTTTATGTTTAAATGCTGTACATAAGACTTGCACTACTAACGATCTACCTACCAAAACAAGTGTATTCTATGATTTGCAAAATGTACATTTTTTATGTTCATTTCTTAGGCATCCCGTCCTGTATATTATAAAATGTCACAACAAGAATTTAACATTCTTCAGTGAAAACATAACAATAATATATCGTCTACATTTCAAACCGTGCATTTACAAAAAATACTGACAGTTTCATTAACTCATTAAGTAAAAAAAATTGAAAAATGTGAATTTGAATACAAGTCTTCAAGATGCATGTTAAATTTTTAGGAATAGCTTCACAGGGCTAGTATTAAAATAATTGAGATAAACAAAGCCTCTTAGTATAAGGTTATGATTTAATTTATTATAATAATACAAATAAATATTTTTCAATTTTCCGAAAGTTTAGTATTGTCCTCTAGAACAATCTAAGAAAAAAGAGGAAACTTCATCATACTACTAATCCACGCGTGGCTGATATTAGTGATAATTGCTGAGTAGTAAAAATTTTACACACGTTTCTTGATATCCTATGAGTCTGTTATGTATTCATTTCTAGGAGGTTAAAACTGTCCTGCGTTTCCTTGGTTTCCTTTTAATAGGAGAATTTTTAGGTTCAGAATCAGAGTCTGAATTAGCGCCATCTCCGGATTGACTAGCATCGTCTACGAGATCATCTCTGATATCTTCATCATTCTAAAAAAATATTTTTAATCAAGAATACATAAAAATACAAAAGTTGCTGTTTTATATTTTGAATCAAATCCTAAAATTTCTAATTATATTATAAGTAGAACCCGGATTTGTAAGCATAATGCTTATGGTAAATAATAAAAGCAGTTATAGTAATATATTTTTTTTAAATATGAACGAAAATGTAAAAATGTCATTTGTACCACTTTTTTTTATGCTTTTTTTTTTAGTTTGTATGCCTTTTGTGCTTATTTGGTGCTTTTTTATATACAATTTTATCATTTTTGCATTTGATATAATTTTTATACCATTCTATTCCTTAAAACATAGTCTATAAAATATTGTCAAAAATATTAATTATATCGATATTTTTGCTAATCTTTATTTGTCAATATTTCCGCTCATATCTATGCACCTGCACGAGTCCTTTCCCATATCAATTAGTCCACCTACAGAATTTGCAATTTAAGTCGATTACCATAAACAAATTATACTCTGCATGTTTTTATAAGTTACCATATTAATTAATAAGGCATTTTTATTATTTATTAAAAATATTACCCTTGTTCTTTTTATTTATTTTTAACAATCAAAAAATTAACTAAACCCTGGTTACGCATTTACTTATGTCAACATGTTGATTTTTTCACAATTACATTAAATCCAGAGGTAGCTATAGACAAATGACATCAAAACCATAATATTGTCAGGTCTACAAATGTATTTTGTAGTATTGTAAAGCTTTTTGCGTTTGTGGATTGTACAATGGGTCGAGGTAAAGTTATCGATGAGAAAATTTGGTCAATATTCATTTGGTTTTTTAATTCTGGAAAATAAAATTCGGAATTCACGAATATGTTGCAATTGTCATACTATATTGTGAGAAATATAGTCAGAAGATACAAAACTACAGAACCTAGAAATGTATGAAAAAGTAAAATAACTGAAGCAGATCGAAGGTCATTAAGACGCATTATAGTGAAAAATCGACGAGCAAATTATACGGAGTTAAGCATTTTATGGAGTGACGTTATTGGGAGACACGTTTCTAGATCAACATGTCACCGAGAGGCCCACAAATTAGGATTTGGTACTTACAAAGTAAGTTTTATAGTTGAAAAAATTAGTACGAACTGTTTTTAATAAATTTCATTTTATTTTAGACTAAGGAAGAGCCACTTTTAACATTACAACAAAAGAAAAATATGGGCTGATATCAGCCCAATACTCAAGCCAATGTGTGAATGCCTCACTGAACGTGGGAACATAGTTGACCCAACGTTGGCGCCAACGTTGGATCCCATGTGTGGAGCCGGCTTTAAATTAAAATGCCAAAGCCAAAACAAACCGTAACTAAATGGATAAATAGTTAACATTCTAACATGGTAAATTATTTTGTAGAGCATTTTGAGGACTTTAAGTTTTATTTTACAAATTATCCATGGATGTTTAATACTTAATAAACGCAAACAAATTTAGTTGAATTTCCTGGTTAAAAAAAATCCTATAAATATGTTTTCATTTACTCATATTTGAAATAATGTGGTTATTTGTATGAAAATTTTTATTTGGGTGTATTTTGACATGCAAAAATAAATATGACGTCAGTATTCAGTTAGTTATAGAAATGATGATGCCACCTACATCTCTTTTTTACTTTTTATCATAAATTAACCATACAGACCATAAATTTGTATATACGTGGATTTCCTTTTAAGTCAGAAATTAGATTTCCCCATCATTTTATTGTAGTCCCTATGAACAACCATTCTCCAAATATTTTGATTTAAACTAATCGCTGCATGTTATTTTAAATTAGGGAATATTTTCGAAGACAAAGATGGATTCAATAGAAGTCACAACTTTAATCATATCTTGATTCGTTTTTAAGTAAAAAATAATAATATTCAACTAAATTATCTGAAATATTATTTAAAAAAAAAAGCAAAAATAAACATATACTTTAAGATCTTGTATCTCTTTAACGATGGATTTCTAGATATATATTTATTGCTTATTACATTGATGTTATTATTGATTACAGGTACAATGCGACAAAAAGTACAATATAGTACAACATGTAAAAACATATTTACGTCAACAATCGCTAAAAAAGTTTACAAATAAATTTAAGCAACAAACAATTGCAGAATCCTTACAATCAACTTCAGGATATAGCAGAAATTTAATTTTGATCTATGCAGTGCAATGGTGGACTCTGATATTCCACTAAAAAAATTGCAAAATGAAAGTTTTAAAACATTATTGGAAAATTACTCTCAAAGGCATGTGCCAGATAAAAGTACTCTTAGAAAAAAATATGTTAATTGTGTTGGATTAATTGTGTGGAAAGCATTAAAAAAGTAAAAACACTAGTAAGGAACAATTACATCTGGTTTGCTGTGGACAAGAATATTTTTTAAGTACACATAAATATCCACCTACTAACACCTATTTATTCATATAATTATTTATAATCAGAGTCTTGCACCACTTTGTAAAGTTGTAAAACAAGATATTAGATAAAGCAAATATTTAGTACTAAGAATAATATTTCCAAAATAACAGGAAACATTTGCTATTATCAAAATTTAATAATTATTAGGGTAAAAGCTCAAAAATAACATTTTTTGTATTACTTACCAGTTCATTATCACTATCCTTTTCATCCTTTTTGTTCTGTGTTAATATTATATGTTTTGGTGGGAATATAAGATCTATTGCACACACTAAAATCTGAAATAACATACCAAATTAAAATAACATGTTCCAAATATTGGATATAACATAGAAAAAACATTCCTGCCTTATTGTTTTGATATATTAAGGACTAGATTTATTACTTATATCTTGCTAATATAAATACAAAAATTATATAAATACATAAAAACCGTTTTTACTTACCAATCCTAGAAGGGCACCTAAGATAATGGTCGCAATGGCAAAAATCAAATATGAAGCAACCGTTGGTAAACCATAGTCGTCTGTAAGCTTGTTATGAATTTGCTGCAATGCAAGTAAAAATGCTGTACACATTAAAGATTCTATCATAATATTATATACATACAGGATGATTGACTAGTATGAGGAGATTCAGTAGATCTCTTATAGTAAAAGATTCAAAAAAAGTTATTTACAAAAATTGTAGGCAGCTGTAAACTCCACATTTTAAAATTAGTTACAATCTTACAGGGTGTTTCATAACGGTGTGTCAGATCAAAGCTATATATTTTTTAATGGAACTTTTTATTTTATTTTAAATTTGACATCTGCATAACTTCACCAAGACACAGCAATATAGTTGTAAACTATTATACTGAATATTTAAAAAGTTATAACCAATGATATTACATGAAAATCATATCAAGTATAACTCCCTGTATAATTAAAATGGAGATATATACATGGTTACGCAATTGAACTGTTACCTATTCAAACGAAAACAATTTTTTTGTGTGAAATTATTTTTTATTGATTTAAATGACAAAAATGTGTGAAAATAATCAAAATTTCAGAATTCATTCACTTTAGCTCGATGTGGCTACCTTTTGCCTTGACTGTGGCCTTCAAACGATAAAAAACCGAGTTGCATGCGCACGAATGTGATCTGCTGGTATTTTCGCCCATTCACAAATAATTGCTTTCTTCAGCGCATCCATACTGGCATATTTTTTAGTCCTCACCTTGCTCTCCAAAATGGACCAGATGGAATAGTCCATCGGATTTCCGTCTGACGAATTCGAAAGCCATTGTGTGGATGAAATGAAATGTGGAACATGGTTTTTTAACCATTCTTGGTTCACACTAGCTTTATGAGGCGGTGCCGAATTTTGTTGGAACGTCCATAGTCTACATCCAAAATGTTTGCGTGCCCAAGGCTCTAAAACAGCTTCTAAAACATTTTCCCGAAAATAAGTTGCATTGACTTTGACACCAGGTTCAATAAAAACGATTGGAGAGCGTCCATCGGCGGTTACAGCTGCCCATACCATTACTTGAGATGGGAAATTACTTCAGGTGGCTGTTCGTAAGCTCAAACTTTCATAGGTGCGTTCGGTCAAGTAAATACAATCATTTTGAGAGTTTATGAACTGCTCAATAGGGAAATTTTTCTCATCAGGGAACACTACGTTCGGAAATTCACCACGTTCATGGAGGCGTAATAACTCCTTTGCTCTTTCAAGCCGAACTTTTTTTTGGTTTGGTGTAAGATTGTGTGCTTTTTGGAATTTGTAAGTCTTGACCTTAAGCTCCTTTTTCAATATTCGTTGCAAAATAGCTGGGATATTTTCAGTTCTTTGGCCCTTTGATTACCACTAAGACATGGATTTAGCTCAATTCAAGCCTTCACTTTCCGAACCATTTCAGGTAATGTTGCTGTTTTTTCCGTCCATCACCATAGCGCTTGGCAATGCTACCAGTATCATTATAACGAGTTATGGTGCAATACACAAACATTTTATTCACTTTGAGGTGTTTGAGCTGACAGACAATAACTGGTTGTGATTTTCCAGCCAAATCTAACGCAATCACACTATTACATTTAAATTCCATTGCGAATAACTTTTGTTGTATCTATAAAACTTAAAGCAAATGCTTTTGATGGCTTATAAACAATATACTTTGATGTAGCTGTCATTATCGATTTGCCAGATATATATTGATGTGAAATTGGCAACAGTTCAATTGCGTAACCCTGCAGATCATAACAACCAATGATCTATTGCAACCATAGTTTTTTAATAACAGTCAAAAATTATAATATGAGAAATTTTGATAATATTCATTGAATTGAATACAGGGTGAATCAAAATGCCAGTACAATATTTTCTTGGTAATTTTAAATGGATCACCCTGTATTACATATCACAAATCGAAAAGCATTATTACATACTTGAATGTCTATGAACTATTCCTATGAAGAAGTTATTAGTTTTTCATAATAATATATTACTTTTCCCTTAGATATTACTTGACTACTTTTTCATATTCTTACATATTCTTGTTAAATTCCAAGTTATAGTTAAGACAATTAAATCAAATGGTGTTTCGAAAAAATATAAAATCATGATAAAATGTTACTTACTAATGCCTACAACTTAAAAGTACTTACTCTGAGTAATTGAGATAATTTGAAGAAAGAAGATACAACACTCATCTGAATTGAATTTGGAGATTTCCAACTAGGAACTGGTTCTACTTGCTCCCATTTCTTGTCCTCTACAAATGATGTGAATGAACTTATGTCTCGGGGACCTTTATATTGTCTGAATTCACCATTTATGACACTGTAAATAAATTTATGTATATTACAATTATTTATCTTATCAACAATAAAACTCTTCCACAAAGTTTATTATAATTTACAATCATTACAGCTATTTCGGCAGAGTGCCTTTGGAAGTGAAAGTGAAAAAAGAAGAGTGCCTTTCCTAATTGGAAAATCACATTCATAAATGTATACCAAGTTTTCAAAATGCAATAAATGAACTAAAAAAAAAAAAGAATAAAATGAAGTAGTAAAAATGTCCATTTTAATATTAGTTGTTTTTTAATTCTGATAAACTGTGTAAGTAATTATGCAAAAATCCAGTGGATCTACTGTACTGCCATGCATATGGTATTATTTTCATTTTCTTGCTATTTCGTGATGAATTCTTCAGTCCTTCTCTAGCCCTTTTAACATAATGTATAATTTTTGTGAGCAGAAACTGGAAGAAGCAATAAGAAAGATAAAGATTTGAAAAACACCAGGAAGCGATGTAGTAGCATCAGAAATGATGAAATATATAGAAGTAAAAGCAAAAGAAAAATTGTTATATGACCTAATATGGAAGAGAAAAGTAGTACCCAGAGAATGAACAAATGCAGTTATTATACCTATGTACAAGAAAGGAAACACAAGAGACTGTAAGAACTATAGAGGTATATCACTACAATATGTAGCAGCAAAAGCATACGAAACCATAATAGAAAGGAAAATCAGAAAAGAAATATAACATAAATTAGAGGATGTACAAAGTGGATTCAGGAAAGGTCACAACACACAAGACCATATATTCACCATGCAACACGTAATAGAAAAAGCCTTAAAGAAAAATAGATAAATATTTCTGACCTTTATAGACATGAAAAAAGCATTCGATTCAGTCAAAAGAAAAGATATATTTAAAGCTTAAAAAAGAAGCAAGTAAGTGAAGAACTGATAGAAGCAACAAAGAATATATACATGAAAACAACAAATACAGTAAGAATGTTAAATATACAGTCAGAACCATTTGAAACAACTCAAGGAGTTAGACAAGGGGGAAGTCTCAGCCCAGTGCTATTCATAAATGTAATAGATGAGATAGTGAAATAATATAAGAAAACATTCAAGAAATACTGCAGCGGTTGGAACAGAATACAAATAATAAACGCTGATATGTGTATATTTGCAGATGACATAGTATTAATTACGGAAACAGCAGAAAAACTTGGAACAAAACAGGAAAAATACAACTTAGAGAAATGGAACCTAGAAGCAAGCAAATACAACTTAATGTAAACAAAGAGACGACTCTTCTTCTGATAGAAGATAATGAAAATATCAAGGAAACAAGGGACAGCAGATCAAATAGAAGTAATGATAGACCAACAAAAAATAATACAGACAAATTCATACAAATACTTAGGAACACTAATCCACAACAAAGGAGACATTGAGGATGATCTTAACAACATAATGGAAAACACAGGAAAAGTATTCCAAGAACTAAATAGAGGCTTCCTTAATAACAAATAAATATCAACAAAGACCAAGATGACAATATACAAAACAATATATAGACCTACAGTGACATATGGAGCAGAAAATTGGATATTAAACAAAAGACATCAGAGTAGAATTCAGGCAGCAGAGATGAAATACCACACAAGAATGATCAGAGTAAAAAGAACTGATAGAATCAGAAATGAAGAAATAAGAGAAAGACTCAAAATCAAACCAATACTTGACTCAATCAAGGAGAAAACATTGGCATGGTTTGGACATATAACCCGGATGGACAATAATAGACAAGTAAAAAGAGTGTAGGACACCAAACCAATGGGGAAGAACAGAAGAGGAAGACCCATTAAATAATGGAACAGTGACATCTCGCAGATACTGCAGAGTAAGGGGTAAGACTTGGCAGGAAGCAACAATAGGAAGTAATGGAGAAAGTTCGTTTTCGAAAGATTGTAAAATATTGTAATTTAATGAATTGTATTATAAACGGCCCAACACCAAAAGGTACAAATGGGTCTACTGATTAAGCAAGTATAATTTTTGTGAGAAGGGAAGACATTTTATTCTATTGCACACTAGTTTTTACATCAATAAGTCCATAAACAACTATACCAGTATAGTCATATTATGTAAGAGGATTATTTGTCACTTTATGATTTAATTGTAATTTTAGAAAATAAAACTATATACCCATTTAACTATTATATCAATATAATCATTAACATGATTTCATACTTACTGAAATATTGTGGGCAAAGCTGTGACCATGAATCTACCACTTAGTCCTGGTGAAGTAGTAACATCTACAGCTCCAATTTTAATACCTAATCCTGGTCCTAATTGAGCTAACTCCTTCCATTTCTGGACAAGAGCCTTGCATGCTGGACACCAAGGAGCATAACTAAAACCAAATGTTCGTTTTAAAAAGGATATATATATATATATATATATATATATATATATAATATATATATATATATATATATATATATATATATAAATAACTAGCTTGCTGTTGCAGCTCTGAACTGTCTAAAAATGTTTAACATTGCTATGTACATTATGATATATTTTTTTTTTATTATTGAGTTACTGCCTCGACAACTAAGATCATTGGCATGGTACAGTCAGGTACCTAGTGTAGTGTGTGTGTGTGTAGAGTAAATGTCTTGATACTTAGCAAAGTCGACATCATTGTCTTTGCTAAGAGACGCTAATTGTATCCGAACGTCTTCGGTCCCTCTGGTGAGTACCAATGGCACAAGGATAGAAATTATTTTCATTTATTAATTTTTAATAAACGAAAATTTCCACCCAGGTGAGATTCGAACTCACGACCTTTAGGTTTAAAGGTAGGCGCTCTTACCACTGAGCCACAGAGGGGGTTCATTACGATATTATTATATAGTGTCAGTTGAACTTGATGATCCAGAATTTATACTTGTAGATTTTGTTGTATTTGCCATTTTTAAAACAATTTTGCATTAACTTTTTATATATTATTTTATGATACATGTTTGCTCCATATAAATTACCGTTATTACAGGAAAATAATTATATTTTCCTGTATGGTTCTACTGTTGCTATTTCATTTGGAATGTGAATAAAACTGTATACAGATTTACTGTGTATTTCTTATAAGTACTATGTAAGTTATTCTCTATCTAAAACTGTTCTGATATTTTTCATCCATGAACATGTTCTGAAATTTATAGATCTAGACATCTAACAAACTGTACTTTTGTCCTCTGTAATATAGCCTGTTTTTATTTTAAACTTTATTATCATATTCCATATACCTAAATAAAATCTCAATATAAAAATTAAAACCAATTTACTGTAAGTTATTTTGAACCAGGTGTGTCAATTTCTAAAGTGAGTTTCCTACAACACATACACACACCATAGTTTTGTAAAGATTTTAAACTGTTGATATATTGTCAAATATTTAATAATACAAACATTTGCATTTACATATTTACTACTTTATTATAATGAGTGTCAGCAGACTTAACACTATTTGAAGGTTGAAATACCTAAGATAACTTAAAATACCTTAAGGTTGTTAGAGAGGTCAGTACTCCTAACCTACACTTCAAAAGATAAACTAAAAACAGACCTCCACCTGAATAAAGGATGATGTTTTTTGTATCGTGGCAATTAAATTGATCCAAATAATACAATTTATCTGAGGGAATCAATTTATTCCAACTCGAAACAACACTAAGATTAACTAGACAAAAATGTTTTATATGATCCAAAAATAAACGAAAACTACGGGATATAATGTGTGCTAAAAGGCTATATTATAGAATAATCTAACCAATCCACCAAATATAATATATTTACTTAACATTTTCAACTTGACACGAAAGCAGAATGCCGGAGTTAAAATTGAAATATATAAAACTTACAATTCTACCAGCCATTCTCCCTTCAAAATTTCACTCCAGTTTTCTTCATGAAGGTCTATCACGATCTTTTGACTATTTGTTACAGCAACAAAGCTGCAAAATAGAAAAATTATACAAAATATTCCTTTACTGTAGGCCATTACAATTCTTCAATTTTTTTAAGCAAAAGATGACAAGATGACTGACTGTTATGTTATCATTGAACATTGAAGTGGTATGTCAAATATGTTGACGTCATACCATAACGTCATATTTAACAACAATTATGTTTCAATAATTTTACATTTCGTTATAGCTAATTTTTCTGAATATTTTATTTCCACTAATTTACAAACAAATGTATATACGAATACAAATTTTGCATAATTCAATTTTTTTATTTATAATTTATAGCAGTTTACCATCGGACACATTTGTTTTAAACAAAGCATAAATATGAGTATGACTTTTCTGTTTTTGCACCACAAAAGCACGTTTTGCACAGAAGAATTATTCCTAGATTGTTTCTCATATATTTTTATTTTACTTTTTTTTTTAAATAAAAAAAATTTATTAAAAAGTTTGATGAAAAGTCCTGAGAAATTGAAATGTTTGGTTGAAAAATTTTGATTTTTTTTAATGATTCGTAAATTTTTGGTCACAAAAACAGTATAATAAAAAGTTACGTGACGGTTTTTCATAGTGTTGGAACAAACCTATTTTTAATTCAAAGTTATAAAATTTTATTTAAATGTAATAAAAAATAAATAAATACTATGAATATTGTAAATATCATATCTTTTTAAGTTTTAAAATGAAAAATTTTCAATTTAATATATTAAAAATAAAGATTTTATTGTGAAAAAACAAAACAAAAACAGTTTGCAAATTAATGGTATCGAAATTTGATTAGGCGTGGATGCATAAGTTAAATAAATAGCTCAGTTCGTACTCCTTTTCCACTTCCCCCTAACAACTATCTTTCATGATGGCCACAGAAATCACAGAATACTCTTGATTTGATGTATTCTGTGATACTCACGTTCTACCCAGTTCTACTTACTACTGTTATCTCTCTTTAGCATATTTACATTTGTATTTAATATCATTATCAATTGTTCCGTGTATAGGTTTGACAGCAAAAAGAATTCAGCAGGAAAACGAAAACGCATTTACAAGTTTTGATCTGGTTTTGATAGTAAATCTAACCTCTAATTTTTGCATGGTTAGAGAATCTGTGGGATAAATTAAAAGATGAAAATTAGAAAAAGTAATTTACAGTCAGGTAATTCAAATCACTTTGACGTAGAAGATGGAATGGACAATTATGAAGAACCCAAACAATGGTATGAAGAGGTATGTAAATATTAAATTTTTAATGTGGAATCTGTTTAATATTCTTAATCTGTAGATACAAGAAGATCCAAAAAGCTTTTCTAAAAGTACTGAACAAGTTCTGATAGAGCTTAAAGATGAAGCTAAAAAATGTCACGATTCGGAGGTGTTACATTATAATACTAGTAAGTACAAGCGGGTTTATTTATCTAGATGTACCTTAAAATTAAAAACCCTAAAGCTAACTCACAGAAAAAATTAAAAAACAAATAAGTAAAAAATTCTTTTTGAATTCCAAATAATATCTAACGCATTTTCCACAACTTTTTCAATGTGATCATTCCTAAAGATTTATGTTTGGGTTTATTTCATTTAAGATACAAAGAGATTTGTGGGTAAGATTGAATATCTTGAGTTGTTTGATGACATTATATTAAGCAGTAATACAAGAAATCCCATCTCCAACTAGTTATATTCAGATCTAAACATAATGTGCAATATTTTGTATGGTATATATAAAAACTTGGACATTTAATTTATTCAACATGAATAGACAATGTGAAAAAACTTTAGAAATTACATAATAGAAAAGGTAAAGATAATATCTCACTATAAATGTTGCACAAAATTTCATTTTTTATGTTGTAGGATTTCCGGTGCTTGGGTATATGGTGTCCGTCTACAAAACTAGCATAGGCTCCCTACATTTTAAGATTTCATTATATTTATTCAATTTTTTGTCAAGCATACAAGACATAGTATTTAACTGAATAAAACAATAATAACTTTTAAACCTCAATATTATGATTGTGCAGTAATGTGAAACTGCAATGTAATGTACAGTATATACCAAATATAATTTTATTTTAATTGTTAAAATACAACTCTAAATGTTTTTTATTGTAGAAAACTCCAAAACGAATTCTGATTTTCAATGGATGAAAACAGTGATGTCTAAGGGTACACTATCAGACAAAATAGCTGCTCATACAGTAATGATACAGGACAATCCAGTTGCTTGCTTAGATACTATAAGAAATCTTGTTGGTATGGTAAAAGTTGGAAAGAAAAAAGAATGTACAACTGTTATGGGTATGTTAATCAACTTTTGAATGTACATTTAAATATAATTCCATTTTACAAGTTTGTAATCATTTAAGATGAGTGTTTCTAGATGCATATTTTTCTGATTAATTTTATTTTAACAAAATCAATTTGTTTTTATTTTAGAAACATTAACTGAATTATTCCTGTCTAACCTTTTAATACCTAATAGAAAACTGAAAGCTTTCCACCAAAGACCACTTTCAGCTCTAAACGAACTCTCATCAGGCAATGCAGTTAGCAGGAGAAAAATTTTAAGCTATTGGTATTTTGAAGATCAACTGAAAGAAGTATATGCCAATTTTGTTATGGCATTGAATACTGTAGCTCATGATACTGTGGATAGTAATAAGGACAAAGCAGTTACAGCTTTGTATAAGTTGTTAGTTGACAATTCAGAGCAAGAAAAGGTAAGCATTGAGGATATTCAAGAGAGTAACCACTATTTGTAAGCAAACAAATTATGTCTATGAATCTAAATTTGTCATTGAATTGATTGTTTTATCTATTTAATTCTTTAATATTTCTTAATTGTTTCATTTCTTGTTGTGTTAACATGTTTTCTTTATTTTTTAAATATTCATAATAGTCACACTTTATAGAGGTGAGAAACACACGAAAGACAAGACAAAATAGAAAAAAAAAGAAAAGAGAATAGAATAATAATTGTTCATAAAAAAATGAGTGTCTGTGTTTTATTTGAATTCCAAAAAAGCAGAAATGAGATGCTCATGATATAAAAGAAAGACTAATATGAATGTCAAAATGAAATGAAAATATTAGCGATATATGGGGGATTTAAGTGTGGGAGAGACTAATAAATTTCATGTGAAAGTAAGATTGCACCAAGGCTCAGTGATTAGTCCTTATTTATTCTCATTAGTTCTGGTTCAAATAACAGCGAAACTACAGGGTAATATTCCATGATGATGATGATGTAGTGTTAGTAGGAAATAGTGAACTCAACTTAGAACAAAAACTGGAACAGTCGAGAGAAGCTCTTAAGGAAAAAGGTAAATTTAGTAGGACAACAACGGAGTCTTTGGAATGTTAATTTAAAGTTAATTAAGAGTTAGTACAAATATAATGATATATAGTGAAATGATGGTGAAAAGTAATAGTTTTAAGTACCAAGGATCGGTATTACAAAGTAATGGGGAAATAGATGGAGTTGCATTTATTAGAATTAGGGTTTTATGGATGAAGTAGAAGGAAGTCTGTGGTGTGTTGTGTGATAGAAAAATTTAAATGAAGCTAAAGAGAAAATTCTATAAAACAGCCATAAGATCTGTACAGAACTGGATGTTGGCAGAGAAAAAAGGATTAAATTAGGATTTAAAGAGTATTTATAATGACCCAAGATAGAAACTTACAGAGAAAGGTAAATTGGGAAGCCAACCCCGCATAGGGACAAAGGCAAAGAGAATGATGATGATACTAATACAAGAAACATGAAAACTTATGAGTACCTTGTAGAAACTGCAAGGTACTCATAACATACTACCGTGGGAAATAGTTAGGAAAGAAATAAATTACTCTAGGTACTGGGTGTTTTACAAAATTTAGTAAAATAAATAGAAAATAGAGAAACTATAACAGGCTGTTTTCTGACATGTTACAGTTTCATTACTCATTATAAATTAGTAACATAGTAGATGCATATATCATACATTTTATGTACATAAAAACACTAAAATTACTTATTTTCTTACTTTTAGGTATATTGACATTACAATTGGAATTAATAAAAAAGTCACAAAGTGTAATAAGATTCTCAATTCTTCTATAAATCTCAAACGCCTTTCTGCTCTTTGCTATAAGATTATTTTTATTTATTTTTTTTCAGAATCTTCTAACCTACATTATAAATAAACTTGGTGACCCATCTCAGAAGATAGCATCCAAAGTGATTTATTGTTTGACACAGTTATTATACAAACACGTGAACATGCAATTAGTAGTTTTGAATGAAATTGAAAAGCTGTTGTTTAGGCCAAACATTTCTACTAGAGCACAATACTACAGTTTATGCTTTTTGTCCCAGTTTCATTTAAGTCATGAAACCAGCCACATAGCAAGAAAGCTAATTGAAGTGTATTTTTCATTTTTTAAAGCTTGTGTGAAGACTGTAAGTATAAATATTTTTATAATAAACATGTATGGCTTCAATAAAATATGAAGTGTTTTAAAAAAGTTAATTTTACTTAAAAAACTTTAGACAGATAACTTTAAAAACATGTTTTTTGCTGAGAAAATGACAATTTTAAAATTATATGATATTGTAGTTAATGCCATCAGTATCATAAACATTTGAAAATTTTACAATTTATTACTCTTTAAATTACGCCAGTTAAAATGAATCATTTTAGGGTGATATAGACAGCAGGATGATGTCGGCTCTTCTCATGGGTTTAAACAGAGCGTATCCATATGCAAAATTGGAGTATGATAAAGTCCAGGAGCATATAGATACAATGTATAGACTTGTGCACATGGCAAATTTTAATATTAGTTTACATACCCTTACATTATTGTATCAGGTTTCTGATACTGGTACTGGTGTAACAGATAGGTAAGAAGTTTATATTAATATCTTAATTCATGTTATTAATAATATCTTTAAATCATATTTAGTTAATATAATTTTGACAATCCCATCTCCATGGACTGGAAACTTAAGTAATTATGTCCTTATATAAAAACGAGACAAATTACATTATCCAGCCTAACATTAACAAGAATACTAAAAATTGCTAATGATGGTTTAAACACATACAACCCGAGAAAGGATCCAATATCTTTGGGTGTTTTATGGCACAATAATAAGCAGGAACACTTAAAGCCTATCTCCAACTAGACATTTAATTAATATTTAAACATATGTATTTTTGTATTGTCTTTTTATTCATTACCAATTCACATTGGTGAATGTCAACTTCACTTGATCCATATAGTGTGTAACGACTATTTTGCTTACCACAGGGTAAGAATATGGGGGACAAGATTGGGCAAACAAAATAATCGAAACAAGTGCATACGGACACTCAGTTGGTTGTTGGAGAGCTGGGTCGTGGATAAGTTGAAGATATTGGGGGTTAGATTGGGGCAACTACAAAGAAAAGAAATAAAGGGGTACTTATACAAATCTCTTGGGACAAACAGAATGAAAATAAACGAAAACACCTCAAGAAATTTAATATAGGGCGCCACTTGAGGTGCCCAATTATACCTATTACAACCACTAGTTGTAACTAGGGAAATAATTGTATAACATCAAAAATATAGAAAAAAAATATCTTTTTCAAATAAAACTCAAAACAGATCAGAGAAACAAATTAAACATTTATTTTTGTCTCAAACAAAACAGATCAAAAATACATATTATAAAAGAAACATATCATATAACATAATACAAATAACAAAAACTTACATGTTCTTTGTTTACTATATTATGGCCAATTAGATTATCAAAAATTAAGGATCCTTCTTAATGAAAACATATAAATTTAAACTTATATATGAAATATCGTTTCTACATAATTATCAAATTAAAATTGTCATAACAAAAAAAACAAATTAAACTTGCTGTCAGGTATCACATTTAATTTTGATGACAAAGAATGAAAGCAATTATTACTTTAGCCAAAAAATATCTGTCTTTACTTTGAAAAAATTAATATATTGAATTGTTACCTTAATGTTTTTTTTTTATACAAACACTTTGAAACTTTGCATCTCTGGGGAAGCTACTCGGACAAAACTTTCAAAACTGGAAGGCAGCAACCATCAGGAACTAGTTCTATACTCCAGGACAAAACGATAGGAACAGGAACTTGGTGGAAGAATCGAGCCGACTACGGGACATCCTATATCATACTTCTTTAAATATTTAGTAGTTACCCTTTTCAAAACCTGTCTTATTACAGAGGGTAATTGTTCCTCTAATTAACAAAATTTGTCGACTTTTTTCTTCGAGAAGTTCTTCATCACTTCCTCTCAAATCTTTTACTCCATTCCCACATGTCTGCCCCGCTTGGAACTTAAATCTCGACTCCGTTTCAAATCTTTGACTCCATTCTCACATGTCTGCCCCGCTTGGAACTTAAATGTCGACTCATATTGTCACATGTCTGCCCTGTTTGAAACTTAAATCTCGACTCTTCTTGCTTCGTTACATTTTACAAGAAACTAGCCAAAAATTTCCCTTCCGTCTTGCAGCTAACCTGTCCCCACAAACTCAAGAACCAAAACAATATCCCCTCGCTCGTATCGACAAAAAAACCTTTTAAATATTCCTTTATTGCGTTTTTAGACGCCAGTATTGGTATCCTAAATAAACAAATATTCTTTTTGACTCTCATTCTAATAACGAAAAACAACTTTTTGTCAACTGGAATATTAGGGGAATTCATGTAACATAACACCTCTTTGGCGACAAAAAACTGTTTGTTTTACCTAACATTGCAACACAGAGATAAAAACATATTTCCAACGTTAATACGCATTTAAAAATCTCGTCAAAAAAAACTTGAAATATTTACAACGTACCTACATTTAACTTTATTGATCGATTTCTTGGTAGAAACAACAGGGACGTACCATAGAAATATTTTATATGCACTTTAAATAAAAAACGCTACAATGCCCCTTCTTAAAAGAAAAAACTCGGATAATTTTTATCCAGTTTTTGATAAAGGCAAAACAACAAAAACCAAATCAGAAGATGACCTCTTAACTGAGTCGAAACTTCTTAATAATATCTTTTAGATGATGGCTAGCATGGGATTAAACAACAAAAACAAAGTTAGTTACAAAGAATGGGCTAGCGTGCCATCGATCGCCAGACTCTTTAAAGTCGAGTAGACTGAAATTTTGTGACTCTAAAATGAACTGTAGGTGACATGAGTTTCTATGCCTTAGGGGAAGCTAACCTTATGCCCTGCAGTGAACCTCGCTGACATTCACAGCAGTAACACAAGTGATTTGTCGGGCAGGCATAGCCATGACACCTCGTTGCCTAAACAAAGTGCTATACACAAATCCAAAATAAATTGCTCTACACTTAACAGGTAGGCGTCTACTATCTCCACTATACGCCTAGCGAGACAGGGAATTCGGCAACGGTTCTACAAAAAAATAATTAGGATATAGACCTTAAATCTATATACCTACATATGACAAAATGTGATTCTCACATGTGTCTCCCAAATGGATTACCTGAATTAAAATTATCAAAAGTGAAACAATATTCCAAAGGGATGAAATCAAATCAACATACAAACTCGAAAATACAGACATGGGATAGGGTGAACTAATTACTTAAAGATGACATATTGTCCTCATCTGATACAAAAGGCTTTAAATCCTTAATGTGCCACTTACCAAGATCCGAACCATTTAAATCTGACAAACGATAAACCACTGGTGACAATTTTTCCTTGATAGTTGCTTCAATATACTTTGGTGCTAGTTTGGACATAAACTTGTTAACAGCACAAGACAAAACCTTATTTCTTTTCCAAACTTTATCACCCACTTGAAATTGGACTTCTCTTCTACGTAAGTTGTAACTCCTAGCGTTACGTTCATATCCTTTTCGAAGATTAGCCTTAACCTTTTCAAAAACTTTATCTAAACCTTTGACTTCTGAAGCATACATATTACGGTCACCTGGAATTATCTCGATATCTTGATTCTGTTGATCCTTATGATCAACACCATAATAGTTTCCACTTAAAGGAACATGACGGCCATAATTCAGGAAAGCTGGAGTATATCCAGTCACTTCATGCTTTGCAGTGTTAATAGCTTGTCTGATCTTTGCTAAATTCTTGTCCCAATCTACGTGGTCTTTAACATACGTACGTATTGCTGTACCAATGGTTCTATTGTTCCTCTCCACAAAATTACACTGAGGTGCATATACAGGGCTAAACCATACTTTCTGAACGTTATACCTATTACAGAGCTCAATTAAGAGAGGATTGTTCAGATTTGAGGCATTATCACAAATCACATATTGAGGAACACCAAACATTAGGAAAACATCATTTTCCAAAAACTCAACAATATTCTTAGCCGTAGCCTTTCTCAAAGGTTGGACTAAAGTATATTTACTAAACCAATCAGCAACTACTAATAACCACGTATAACCTTTCTTTGAACGAACAAAGGGACCTATCAGATCTATTGCAACTATTTGCCAAGGAAACTTGGCCTCTCTCTGCTTACCCATTTTACCTAATGGAGCATAATTTGGTGTCTTCTGAGCACCACAAACTTTACATGACCTGACAAACTTAAGCACATCAACACGCATCTGGGGCCAATAATATCTTTCCTGAATACGGGACAAAGTTTTGGAAAATCCAAAGTGAGCACACGTAGGTGGCTCATGACAAGACTTCATAACTTCAGACCTTTGTGGTTTGGGCACAACAATTTTCCATTCTACATCATTAGTCTTAAAAGAATTTCTGGTAGGGGCAAACTTATAAACAAAATCATTCTCCACCTTCCACTGTGGAAAATCAAGGGGGGATCGGATTATCTTTGATCTCAAATTATCGAACCAAGGGTCTATTCTATCTAGATCAATTTCTAAATAACAAATATCTTGGGTAGTTTCTACTGTATCATTGGTGTGAGCTCGAGATAGAGCATCAGGGACTAAATGGGATTTTCCTTTTCTGTGAATCAAATCAAAAGTATGCTGTCTTAGGCGCATGGCCCATCTGGCTAATTTACCAGTAGGATTGGACAATTTATTTAACCAAAGAAGTGAATGGTGGTCAGTAATGACCGAAAACTTGACTCCCTCTATGTAACCTCGAAATTTCTCGATAGCGAAGATCACAGCAAGACATTCTCTCTCTGTAACTGAGTAATTTCTTTCAGCTTTGGAGAGAGATCTACTAACATATGCTATAACCTTTTCTTCACCATCTATAGTCTGTGTTAAAAACACCACCAAGACCGGTGTCAGATGCATCACATTGCACAACAAAGGGAAGATCAAAATTGGGCTGGGCTAAAATAGGAGTAGAAATTAGAAGTTCTTTAATTTTCAAAAAAGCTTGTTCAGCTTCACTTGTCCATACTACAGGCTGTTTCTTTCTACGATGACCCTTAAGAAGATCATTTATAGGGGAGGCTAAACTGGAAAAATCTTTAATAAAACGACGGTACCAAGAACACATACCGATAAATCTTTTAATTTCAGTGGAATTAGTTGGTCTAGGATAATTGACCATAGCAAGGATTTTTTCTGGATCTGCCTTCAAAGAATTATTACCAACTACATAACCAAGATACTTTAACTCTGACTTAAAAAAATCACACTTCTCAACATTGATGGTCAAGTTTGCTTCCTTAAGCTTTTCTTTAATTATCTTTAACAACTCAATGTGTTTCTCAAAAGTTGGAGTACATACTATAATATCATCCAAATAACAAAATATATAAGGCTCGAATTCAGGTCCAAAAATAGCATCAACAAGTCTTTGTTGAATCTGTGCACTATTGCACAAACCAAAAGGAACAGAAGTGAACTGAAAAGAACCTCTACCAGAA